GCACAAACCCGGGGGGGGGGGGGGGGGGGGAGCTGAAAGCAGATGGCCTGGCCCAGCCACTTTGTGCCACAGACCTCCCCACCCCCACCCCACTCCTTCTCTTCCCCCCGAGGCCCTGGCCACGCTTGTCCGGGGGGAGGGGGAGGGCAAATGCAGCCCTTGGCTCACATCCTGGCCCCTGTGCCCAGAGGGTCTGGGGCTCCTCACAGCTGCCCAGCCACGCAGCTCTCACTATGGTCAGTCTGCAGCTCTAGGCCCAGTCTGCCAGCCAGAGCTGGGACAGGAAGAGCCACATGGGCAGCCGTGTGGAGCCGCAAACCCTCCAGCTGGGCAGGCAGGGACACAGGCCTGGGGCTGCTTTAAGTCCCTCCCTGGGGCAGGAGGAGGGCTCCTGGCTCCTGCCCCCATCCGGCTTTGGGCTTGGCTAGGGAGGGGCCACCGACAGAGCGGGGGCCCTGATCCCCCACATGCGGGAAGGCTCCACTAGCTCAGTCCTTTGTCCAGACACCCTGCTCCCCCTCCCCTGTCGCTCTGGCACTGGCCGCGCCTGGAGACAGGTGATGACTCCATGGACCTGATATGGCTGCTTCCGGCCTGGGCTGGGCAGCACTGCCTTCTGCTCAGCCTGCTTCTCAGGGGCTCCCATTTTGCCAGCAGCAGATCCCTGTGGACGGGGCTTCTCCATCTTAATCAAAAAGGCCTTTTCGTTCCTGCTGTAAACTTGCTTCTGGCCTGTTCCTTCCACGCCACTTCCAAATGCTGCCTCGCTGCCTCTGTCTTAACAGGGCCCCTTCCTCTGCGGGTCGCCTGAGCTAGCCGGGAAAGAGAGAATCACTAAAGCTAGCGTGGCTCATCCCCAGGACTCCCTCTGCTTGCTGGGAGGAGACTGCAGAGAGCTGGTCTCTCTAACTGTGGGCTAGACCCCTGTGGTGGGTCAGGCGTTGCTCCTCCCTCGAAAGGAGGGGGCTGCTCTAGCTCTTATGGAAGTGCCCAGGTGGGGGGGATGAGTCTAAAAGCCCCCACACAGAGGAGACTCTAACCATCCCTCCCCGTCGTTCAGCAAACACTGACCCTGGACGTGGAAACAAGCTGGAACTGGTCAAGCTGGTTTTTCCAAGCAGAAACTGTCTTGGGAAGGAGGAGACAGCGCCGTGCATGGCCGGGAGAGCGTCCCTAGGGCGTCGAGAGGGTGTCCATGGGATGGGAGCGGAGCACGACTAAGTGGGAGGCTGGTCTGGCCTGCAACTGTCAGATGATCCCTTGGCTCTGTGTATGTCTGCTGTACGCTGTCCTGAAAGAAAGTCGTACCTAGCACCTGCGCAGCCTTTTCATCCGGCGGGCTCCGAGCAGGCTGAGGGCTACAAACTATGCTTCACCGTTGGGGTGGGTGAGGCAGAGAGATGAATGATCTTTCCCAAGGTCACCTAGTGATTCAGTGACAAGGGCAAGCCGCAAATCCGGGTCTCGGCCCTCACTGGACCGCAGCAGCTGTCTGTGGGCGTGTGCATTGCTCATGGGAACAATGCAGCCATCCACGTCCAACTAGCGGTGGGAAGTCTGCCCAGCGGCTTTGTGCTTTTGTGTTTCTTCCTTTGCTTTGTCTCGCTGCAGCCCCGCGTTCTGCTCCGAGTCCATTCACGCACCAGCCCGCAGAGGGTTAAACTCGACTGCGCAGAAAGATCTTTGCTCGGGATGCCCTTCCCCTAGATCAGCCCCTCCCCCGTAATCTCTTGATGCCTGAAGCACTCTGAGGAGCTCAGACTCCACCTAGCCAGACTAACATCTTCCTTTGCCATAACACGATCCATTTCTGGTAGCCAGAGCGCTCTGGACCCGCTATTTCACCTCAGCCGCAAGAAACTGATGACGAGAATTGGGGAGAGGATCTAAGGCCACATCTATACTAATGGCACCAGAGTTTGATCTTCTGGCATTTGATTTAGCAGGTCTAATAAGGACCCACTAAATTGAACACTGAGGCTACGTCTAGACTGGCATGATTTTCCGCAAATTCTTTTAACGGAAAAGTTTTCCATTAAAAGCAGTTGCAGAAAAGAGCATCAAGATTGGCACGGACGCTTTTCCGCAAAAGCATTGTGCAAAAGCGTCCGTGGCCAATCTAGACGCGCTTTTGTGCAAAAAAGCCCCTATCGCCATTTTCGCGATTGGGGCTTTTTTTGCGCAAAACAAATCTGAGCTGTCTACACTGGCCCTTTTGCGCAAAAGGACTTTTGCCCGAACGGGAGCAGCATAGTATTTCCACAAGAAGCACTGATTTCTTACATGAGATCGTCAGTGTTCTTGAGGAAATTCAAGCGGCCAGTGTAGACAGCTGGCAAGTTTTTCCTCAAAAGCAGCTGCTTTTGTGGAAAAACTTGCCAGTCTAGACACAGCCTGAGGGTATCCCCTAGTCGACACCCGTGCACCTCGATTCACATGGCATAAGGGAAGTCAACAGGAGCATTTGCTCCTATCAACTTCCCACTATGAGGATGGTGCCAAGCTCGGCTTAAGATACATTGACTCCTGCTACATTATTTGTGTAGCTGGAGTTGCTGCCAGAAGCCGATTTCCCAGGTGCAGTATAGACCTGGCCTGACAGACGCGGGACCGTCTCACAGCTGTGTGAATTATGACACGGGTGCCATTTGGGCTTAGGAAGGCTCCATCAACATCCCTGCTATGATGGAGTGGGAGACCTGATAAGAGCACGGTGCTAAGTTGCAGTGTTGGCCACAGAACTGCCGCCTGCCCAGGTTTATAGCCCAGTTACAATACACAAGTTAACCTCCATCTCCACTGATTGGAGTCCCGTCCTCTGTAAGTCAGCACTTCGGAATGCTCTCTTGGACACAGGCTGAGGGAAAAGCTGCAGGCACCGTTCTGGGCTAAGTTTCCTCCTGACGCCCGCCCGTCAGCGACTGGGTTAGGTGGGGTGGACAGAGCACGTCTGTCCGAGAGCAAAGCACAAGCGAGGCCAGTCCCTCATGCTTTTCCCTGCAGGTGCCTCATGGTTCGTGGCTGTCGCCCTGGAGGGGGCCGTGCTGTGCTGTGCAGGTGTTTTTATTTTGCTTGGTGGTTTATGCCTCAGTAAAGGTTTTATCGATTGAAAAAAATATAATGCTGTTGGGGTGTCAGTTTTACTAATAATGCCCCCTTTTTCTTCCCCTCACCCTCTCCCCCACCCACTGTATATTGTATGTGTGTGTGTCTCTCTGCTTCTTTACCCTTCCCACACCTGGCCCCCGCCCTGCCCCCCTCTGCATGGCTTCAAACTACCGTGGGGTTGTTTTGGCTGCTCCCACCTTGTGGATGGTGGCTCTTGTCTCTCATTAGCTAGTTACACGTCAGCCTTGGGCGAAGAGCCGCGGGTAGGTGAGAGGGATTCCATTTGCACTTCCCAGTCCTGTCCTGGGTCCCCCCCACCTACCACTTCTTCGCCCCACTCACTCAGTGACTGTGTCGGCAGGCCTGTGCCCTCCCAGCCTGACCCCTGCTTGATGGACGAGAGTTGGTTTGTCACCCCTCCCCCCTGTTTTACTGCAGAAGGCCCCAGCCCTGACAGGGTGGAGAGCAACCCCATGGAGGACCTCTTGATCGAACACCCCAGCATGTCTGTCTACGTCACCAGCAACAGCATTGTGGTGGAAAGGGAGAGCCCTGATGAGGCCGTCAGCGAAGGGTGAGTACCTGGTGTGGCCATAGCCCATGGCAGAGGCAGTCAGGTATCATCTCTGCTTTCCTGCCGGGGAGGCAGAGAAATGGAGGTATTAAGAGATTAGCCCAAGGTTATATGTCAAATCAGTGGCAGAGCAGGGATTACCATAGCATTTTGGGGGGGCAGGGAGCACTCTAGAGAGCCAGAGAATGTCATCTGACTAAAACACTGACGAGGGACTTCCATATTGGGGGGGCGGTGTCTGTGGTCTCCACAGCCTTGTCTCCAGGGGCAAGTCCTTTCTCTGTAACGTTTATCTCTGGCATCCACAACAGGATTTGTGTTTGTTTTGCTTTTTTCCCATCTGGGATCCCACTTGCATGCACTGGCCTCAGAAGTGACTGGCTGCCGTGCTGGAAAGCGTGCACACGGCCTCAGGCTCTTGGAGATCAGCGCCTGGCTCCTGGCTCCCACTGCTTCCCCAGATTGCCTCGCTGCATGCCTGGGCTGCCTGCCCTGGTTCCCTGCCTGCCCTCCCATGTCCTGGGGGCACCTTGACCAGCGTCGACTCCCTGTTTAACGGACAGCCGGGCCCCCGTGCAGTTCCAGCGTGCGGGGAGTTTACACTGACCCACCCATGCCCTGTGCTTCCACGTGGGCCTGTCAGGGGGCCTGGATGTCTCGCTTTCTGGGGGAGCAGCGTGTCAAGGCCCTTCTGGGCAGCAGACAAAGGGATGCCAAAGCCTGCAGGCAGGCAGAGGAAATGCAGGACATGCCCCAGGCAGCAGGAAAGCAAAGGGGCTCCGCTAGCACGGACTTGTGCAGATCCCTCCACGTTCATACTGGTGAATGCTCCACAGCAATCAACTTGGCCTTGCTGGCTGGGGGCCAGGAATAGGCACGTGGGCCCCCCTCTGTGGCCCCTGTACAATTTGGGAACCCTCCTCCCACAGCCTGACCAGCTGATCTACCCTCCCCAACCTGACCAGCTGCACTCAAGGGTGATTCCCGCACGCTTCTCTGAGCCGAGGGGCCCTCGCCCATTGGTGCGGCTCTGGAGTGAGTCCCACACCTCTCCCCACAAAGGAGCCTGCCCACATCCTGACATTCTGCCATCACCAGTTGGGCTACGTCTAGACTACATGCCTCTGGCGCCAAAGGCATGTAGATGAGGCTACCAGGCATAGGAAAATGAAGCGGTGATTTAAATACTCGCCGCTTCATTTAAATGTAAATGGCTGCCGCGCTGAGCCAATCAGCTGTTTGTCGGCTCAGTGTGCTAGTCTGGACGCGCCGGTGTCGACATCAAAGGCATTTGTCGACCACCCAGGTATGCCTCCTGGGATGAGGTTTACCTGGGTGGTTGACAAATGCCTTTGATGTCGACCCCCACGCGTCCAGACTACCGCGCTGAGCCAACAAACAGCTGATCGACTCAGCACGGCAGCCAGGTAAATTTAAATGAAGACTAGTGCACTGACCCGACAAACAGCTAATCAGCTGTTTGTCGGCTCAGCGCGGCAGCCATGTAACTTTAAATGAAGCGGCGATTATTTAAATCGCCGCTTCATTTTCCTATGCCTGGTAGCCTCAGCTACATGCCTCTGGCGACAGAGGCATGTAGTCTAGACGTAGCCTTGGCCGTTACAGTCCTGTCCTGCCAGGCAATGCTGTAACATGGGTAGCAGACCCCATGCTAAGGCATCGCGATTGTGCTCCCCCTGTTCTGGGGAATTAATGGTAGAAGTCAACATGAAGCGCCTGATCCGTCCCCCATCTCCCATTACATTGTGGTCGCAGGCAGTTTAATTTGCATCTTTGTCTTGGTCTCCCTGTCCTGCACAAGAAGGCCAGCTGGCCTCCTCCTCCCCTGACATGCCTGGCAGCCCCGGATACTGCCATGAAAGCAGCTGAGTCGCTTTCCCGCCGTCTCGCTCACACTGCAGCCACAAGCCGAACGTCAGTGGAGTCAGGCCAGTTTGCCACGCCCAGAAGATGTTAAATTAAAATAGATTGCCTATCTCCTAGAACTGGAAGGGACCTTGAAAGGTCATTGAGTCCAGTCCCCTGCCATCACAGCAGGACCAAGTACCATCCCTGACAAATTTTTGCCCCAAATGGCTTCTGCAAGAATTGAACTCCCAATCCTGGGTTTAGCAGGCCAATGCTCAAACCACTGAACTCTCCCTCCCCCCATACTCGGTGCTTCAGTATGTATCACCCGTGTCAAAAGAGCAAATACACCAAAGGCAAAGCGGGCAAAGGCCCAGACGTGAGCCAGCCTATGGGGTGTGGCCAGACCACTCCATGTTCTTATTATTTATACCAGAGGGGTGTGGCCAGTTCAAGAGCAAAGTCTCAGAGTGTCGCTGAACGTCGGCAGCTGGGCATTCGTTTGCCCTTTGCAAACGTCTCTTTTGTAGGGCCCAATTCTGGTCCCTCAGGAGGAAGTGGAAATGTGAAGGCAGAGGGTGAAATAGAAAGCAACATAGAATCATAGAACTGGAAGGGACCTCGAGAGGTCATCGAGTTTGCCCTTTGCAAACGTCTCTTTTGTAGGGCCCAATTCTGGTCCCTCAGGAGGAAGTGGAAATGTGAAGGCAGAGGGTGAAATAGAAAGCAACATAGAATCATAGAACTGGAAGGGACCTCGAGAGGTCATCGAATCCAGCCCCCCGCCCTCAAGGCAGGACCAAGCTGTGACGGACCGGGCCGTGTCTGGGCACAGCTGAGGGCGTCCGCTCAGGGCGAATTGCTCAAATCCGGGGCTCCTTACAGCCCCCGACTGGCGACCTTTCCACACAGGCCACAAACCAGTCTCACAGAGCGCTTCAGCTAC